TTTTTGTCATTTTCTCTGTGCTAGCAAAGCTTTTTTTATTTTCAGCTGGTAAATCTCTTTATCCAAATATTGTTTGAGGTTTTCTCTTCAGAATGACAGGAAAATTTGTTAGAACTACCTAAAAATAAGATTCTGATTTCACTTTGTACCGTTGCTATCACAAAACAGCAACAACTAACATCAGTTTTATCTATCACAAATCTAAATACAAGCTAAAACTGTTTATTTGTTGATGTGGACTCGTGAAAAAGTTGACACAGTCCTATCTCTCAACAAGAAGAGAACACAAAAAAATAAAAGTGACTAAAGTAGGGTGTGATATGGAATGATACAAGCATCATTTGTCAGCCTTTAGAGAAACTTCTTCAAGTTCCCCAAATCGTCCTTTTTTTCAGGTGTTTGGAAACATCAAGCTGAACGATGAGAGTCACATCAACCAGCACAACAACTTTAAGACCTTTTTCAGCGCATTGATGCTTTTGTTCAGGTGAGCTTCATCAAAAATATAAAACTATTGGGTGATATCGGATTTTATCAGCTGGAGATGTTTAACAGTTGAGTGTTCCCTCGTGTTTTAACCAACAGGAGTGCTACAGGCGAGTCCTGGCAGGAGATAATGCTCTCCTGTCTGTCGGGACAAGGGTGTGAACCAGACCCCTCCATCGCCCCCCTCACCATGTCTCCAGACCACGAGGGTGGCTGTGGCACCGACTTTGCTTACTGCTACTTCGTCTCCTTTATCTTCTTCAGCTCATTTTTGGTCAGAACAAAACTAAAACCAAATATCACAGGCGGTAATCATCTGAATCAGTTCATCCTGTCACCCTGTGGTTTCTCCTCTGATCCTCGTGTAGATGCTGAATCTGTTTGTGGCTGTGATTATGGATAATTTCGAGTACCTGACTCGAGACTCCTCCATCCTGGGCCCTCACCACCTGGACGAGTTTGTCCGAATATGGGGGGAGTAYGATCGACTCGCGTGGTGAGCTTCAAACGGGTCGCACGCAGTTCAGTTTGTGGAGCAGATCGACATTCACGCTCTGCTTTTATCCAGCAGAGGGTAGCCAAAGGATTCAGAACTACTGAAATCCTTTCTGCTCTAATTCAAAAAGTTTATCACAAACTGATAATCATCACAATTAATAGAAAACAAACCTACTTCTTATCATAAATCMTTTTTTTTCTAATTTGTATCTTTTTGTTGTTTTGTTTTTGCTGAAGTGGGCGTATTCACTACACAGCCATGTATGAGATGTTGACACACATGTCACCGCCGCTGGGCTTGGGGAAGAAATGTCCTGCTAAGATYGCCTACAAGGTAAGAAAAGCATCATTGCTTTAGTTTAATCATTGAGGAGCCAGATGCTATAAAATGAAAACTGTGTGTGTGTATATGTGGAAATGTGGGGCAAAAGGGAGGGTTTGTTAAGTAATCCTTACACGCATGTGATTTAAAATGTTGCTTAAGGTTCCCACAGAATGTCTGTGGTAGATGTTCTGTAGGTAMATCTAATTTAGTGTTGAAATATTTATCTAATTAAATGTGTTTTTTTTCATGTTTTCCAAGTAATTTAGCAAAGTTTTCAAAGTGTTCAACAATAAAAAGACATATGAAGGAACAAATGTTTAATTAATGAGAACATGCATTATTGGATGTTCACGTTCTTCCTTTCCTCACCTTTTTTGTCCCTCTCAGAGGTTGGTATTGATGAACATGCCCGTGGATGAAGACATGACCGTCCACTTCACTTCCACCCTGATGTCACTCATTCGCACAGCTTTGGACATCAAAATAGCTCGAGGTCTTGTAACCAAATTCCATTATTATTTTTTTTCCACTTACTTTGGTAGAAAAATGAAGAGCACAACTTAAGTCAGATCATTTTTTCTTCTAAACGTTTTTCAGCCTGCATCTCACTCCGCAATTTTTGTGCTAATTCAACAGTTCCTGTATCAAAACGTTCAGGTCCTTCAGGACATTCTGATTATGACTTTTTGTATTTCTGCAATTTGTACTTTTTGAAATATTTAGCCTTTTTTGTCATTTTATGCTCACTGAAAATGAATACCAGGTCAGCTGTGTTTATTCTAATTGAGGCCAGAGGTTCCAGAACTTGGCCCACCGTCGGGAACAAGTCCTCAGCACTGTTCCATCTCCGCCTCTCCTCCACGTCAGACTGACCCGGTTAATAACAACATCTCTGCATATTATGATTTAACCTTAGCTCCTCAACAATTAATCCATACAAAGAACATTAAACAAATAACCCAAAATGTTAAACCATTTCTAAACATATCCTGCTTAGTGTGTCACTTCTTTAAAAAGAATCAATAATGAAAAACAAAGGACAAATCAAACAACATTTTACAAAAATCATTTACACTCGACTCAGTAACCTACAAATTTTCATGTCCGACTACGTGAGTGTAACTATTTCAGTGTTATCATTCTATATCTAAAAATGTCAGCTATAGACTTTGGGGCTTTTTACTCCACGCTGCCACTCCTTGTCCTCTTAGTATGGATCATGTGATGGTCCCAGGGAGGGCATCTTCTTCTTGTCTCACCCCACATCCCACAAGGTGGATGTTGCTCTAAGATGCTCCAGCTAGTTGTCTGGGAGACGGTCCTAAGCTACTGTACTAACAACACCAACCACCATAAATGTAATCAGACCACTACCCAGCCAACATTATAGACTCAAGCTGTTTTATAATTCTATTCCCACCATGTTTACCAACCACTGAGAAATCACTGCTAGACCATCTCCACAGACCCCTTACTGGTAGAAATTAGCCAAAGAATATACCACTTCAATGTGACACCACCCAAATGTTCATCTAACTATCCTACAATGATCACACTAATAACATAATTCAATAGCCACACACCATTGGCCACCAAACAAATTCCATTATTAATTTTTTCCCACTTACTTTGATAGAAAAATGAAGAGCACAACTTAAGTCAGATCATTTTTTTTTCTATATATTTTTCAGCCTGCATCTCATTCCGCAATTTTTGTGCTAATTCAGCAGTTCCTGTATCAAAACGTTCAGGTCCTTCAGGACATTCTGATTATGACTTTTTGTATTTCTGCAATTTGTACTTTTTAAAATATTTAGCCTTTTTTGTCATTTTATTCTCATTGAAAATGAATAAAGCTGTTTCAACTTCCTTAAAATGCTTCAAAATAGTTAAACCTTTCCTGCACTTTTCACCCTTTGTTCTGGTTCTGCTATTTTTAACTTCTTTATGCTAATTTCAGCTTCTTTTTTTTGCTAACTTTAGCTTTTTTCAGCTATGTTTTTGCAATTTTCAACTATTCTGCTAACTTAAACTTTTCTGTAATTCTATCAGCTTCTTTCTGTGAATTAAGCTTTTTATGCTTTTTAAGCTTTTTCTTCAGCTGTGTTCTGCAATTTAAGCTACCTTTTTGGCTATTTTCAGCTAACTGTAGCTTTTTCAGCTAAATTTACATTTTTTTACAGTTGATAATCTCAGCTTTGTACTGCTAAATTCAGCAATGAGCTTTATCTGCATCTTTGTACAAGATTCAGATTTTCAGCTACTATTTAGCTACTTTACTGCTAATTTTAGCTTTTTTGGCTTTTTTTTGCACAAATCTTTCAGCTTTATTTCAGACTGAATTTTTTGCAGAAAAGGCAAATGTGGTATGAACGTGTGTTTCAGGTGGGGAGGATCGCATCGCTCTGGACTCTGAGCTGCAGAAGGAGATCAGTATCATTTGGCCTTATCTGCCCCAGAAGACCTTGGACCTACTGGTACCTATCAACAAAGGTCTGGCTCTAACTGTGGAGGCAATTTCCAGTGTGCTGCTGAGACAAATGAGCAGTGACGCTTAATGATGTGTGTCTGCCCTCGCAGATACCGACATGACGGTGGGGAAGATCTACGCTTCGATGATGATAATGGACTACTTCAAACAGAACAAAGCCAAGAARCTCCGGCAGCAGCTGGAGGCTCAGGTCAGCACAGCCAGTTTCACTTTGCACTTTATTTTTTGGGAAATGCGTTTTCAAATTGGCAAAACCTATTCTCCGAAAGTTGAATGGAGTGTAAAATATTAACACAAGTGGGATTTTTGATTGTGTCAAATGATGAAAATGACAGTTTTTCACAAACAGAGCATAACATTACCATTTCTTAAATAAAAAACTATGAAAGCATACATTCAGCAGCATTCCTGACTGTCCTCTAGTTAATCTGCTTTGTGTGTCTCTGTCTGACTTCAGAAGAGTAAGTTGATGTTCAAACGTCTGGACGCCTCCACCCTCCCTGAGGACATTCTGTCCAACACCCAGCCGCTGCCGATGATGGCCCACAGTGCTGGTTCAGCTCTGTGAGTCAGCAAGTGTGTGCAAAAAACTGTTGCGTTTCCGTGCCGCGGTGCTTACGTGGGCTTACTGTTTGTCCCCCCACCCCACCCCACCCACTTACAGGACCAGAGGAGGCTTCGTGGCTCTGAGCCCCATCTCGCCGCAGGAATTATTTTTGCAGCCCATAAGCTCAGATGTGGACGCAAGTCAGCAACAGAATCTGGTGAGACGGTCGATGCCACGTCGCTCCTTTTTTCATTGTAGCTGACTCATTTGCTCGACACAAGGTTTTTAGGTTGTTKTTTTTTTCTAAATAAAAACTATAGCAAAACACAGCTGCAWTTTTTTTACTTCATTATGTTTTATTTGGAAATCTGCAGAGTTTAGACTTCCCAGCTTGTTGTTTCCAAAAGCACTTTTAGTGTATTTTTATAGCGTTCCTATAAAAACTGTTTTAAATGATGCTGTTTTGTCGGCGCCTGGCAGAGCACTGCACTGTTGTTCTGTGTGCTCCTGTCCTTTTTTTTGTGTGTGTGTGTTTTGTTTTGTGCAGGGGTGGAGCTGCAGAGGCAGACTGTCAAACTGTTGGTGTGTTGCCGTGTCTTTACTGTCTGGTTTTACTGGGCCGCGCTGCCTGCCAGTTGAATGATATCAAATTATRCCGAAGCACTTTTACTTGAGCGTGCACAGGAATGCATATTTGGCCCCTGGAGATGTTGTCGGGCTCTCGCTGTGTGTGTAGCACTCGGGACTTGATCGTGCATGACTGAATGTACTCCCAGGCTGAAACATAAAGTCTATTTCTTTTTTTTTTTAACCTGTAAACTTTTGTGCTTGCAGTCTAGTCATGTTCTTCTTCCCTCTGAGCTCCTCTTGTACAACCTCACTGTGTTTCTTGTCCTTGAAGTTGGTTTACTTGTTAGTTATAAATCCATCTCTAATTAGCTGGAATGGCTTCTGATTAGATGGCTGGAATAGATGACCCTTGGTAATGAATGAACTGGTTTCCCCCTCTCCCAAYCAGCTGAGCTGGGTGTTCGTTTAAAGAGGCAGTCCCAGCAGGGCTGAGCCTTGAACGCTGCTTTGTTTTTCCTTGCCTTCCTTTTTTTGTTTTGTTTTGTTTTGTTTCTATACTCACYTAGGTGGGCAGGTGCATTTGGGGGATTGGTACCCCACTGGAGCTTCCACTTGAAAGRGGCCCGTGGGTGCGGGCCTCTTCCATGCCCCGTCTGGCTGTAGAGCTGCAGGTACACAAGTCTTCCATGAYATGGACTCTGGGAGGAATCCCATGGATTTCAGTGGCTGCATGGGTCTCTTGCCTGGTCTGGTTTGTGCACGGGTTGCTTCAAGGTTTGATGCCKAAGTTCTGACTTGCTGCTTTTAGAGGTCGGCTTAGACTCGGTGACTTGTCCGAAG